GTCCCAGTCCTGGCCAGTGGCTTGAGGAACATGCTGGGGACATATGCATGTGTGCCCAAACTCTCTCTGTCTCTCTCTGTCTCACCAGTGCACACACTCGTTGACGATTAAAAAACAAAAAAGGCCAGCAGATGGCACGGAGGTTAAGGTGCTGGATCTCACACAACTGACTGAGCAGTTCGAGTCCCGGATTCAGCCGCCTGAGAATCATGCCAGTGCATGTGCATACATCCTTGAAATCCTGAGGAGACGGGAAAAGAAGGGGATGGTTCATTTCTTACTTTCCCTCTCTGTCTCTCTCTGGAGAGCACACACGCTCTATGACAGAACTAAAAAAGGAAAAAATTAAAAAAGAAAAAAACAGGATCAGTAACCATGCTGTCCTGTCGCCTGAGGCAAAAAGAGAAATCAGTCATATTTATCCGATTTCACTGATTTGGATTACTGGCTTTTTGGCAGCCCTTAAATTGTGCACCAAAGCAAGTACCTCACTTGCCACACCCTGGTCCAGGCCTGTCAGTGCTGCAGATCTAAAATTTTAAATACCCTCCCCCAGGTATTAAAATAAATTCATTAAAATGTTCACTTTCCTACTGTCCCCATGTTCACAGCGGCTCACCCGGGAGAAGGAGCTGTGTTCAAGCCCATGGCAGATGACCCCTGAGCACAAGAACGATGCTGTCCCTTACAGATGCCATTACCCAAGGTCAGAGGAATGCAGCCAACTGCTACAATGTTCTGATAAGCCTCTCGAATTAGCCGGCAGCTGTCCTGAAGGTTGTAAAGATTGACATTCACATCGCCTAGGTCCGCGACCATGAGGGACTGGAAGGGGAGGGCCCCCGTGCTGGGATTGACTGTCCGCAGCATCACTGACTCTTCCCGGATGCGTCGGGGTCCGAATCTGGAGGAGGAAGAGTCACCTTGTCAGCCATCCACCGAGGAATGCTCGCTCGAGCCAGGTAATTCCTTCTCGTGGTGTTGCACACGAGTATGCCTGCAGCATCCTTGGCCTGTACCTGCTGCATGTCAGGAACACCCCTCCCACAACCTGCGACAACCCCAAATGCCTCCAGGCACTGCCAAATGTTCCCTGAGCACAAAACCACCCCACTGAGAACCACCGACCTACTGAAGATAATAAAGAGATGAAGGGCTAGGAAACAAACCCAGAGCCTAAGTAACATCAGACGGTTTCTTCATCTTCCTTAGCCTCCTCTTCATAATCTATAAAATAATACTAATGATATTTACCAGAATTAAGTGAGGTAATCTATGCAAAGTGCCTTGCATTTATTAGACATTAGATGAATGATGGCTTTTATAATTTAGACCAGTAGAGCCAGATAATGTCACTGAGATGAATCGGAAGTGGCTGGATGCAGTAATTAGGAAAATGGATTTTATTTCCTCTGACTAGATCTTAGGAAAATTGCCTTTTGTTTGCTTGCTGTTTAGATTTTTGCCAGAGCACACATGCCCTGGCAGGAGGACAGAGAGAGGGAAAGTGAGAAATCATCCCACCATGGGGATGGTCATGCTGCAATCAGTCCCTTCTCCTCCATTCTCCTCTAGAGGTTCTGAGTGCGTTCAGGCGTGCCTGGGGTGTTTTCCAAGCCACTGGGTCTGGGACTTGAACTGCAGAGTTGGCCATATGGGATCCAGTGCCTAAATCACCACGTCACCTGCTGGCTCAGAAAACTGCATGTCTTGTGTCCAGTGACATCTAGAAGTTTTGAGAAGGGGTGGCCAGCTTCTGTGCTCAAATGCAATGTCACCTGCCGCTATAAGCTGGGGAGGGGGGGAGGACGGTGGCCACAGCGAGGATGCCAGACCCCTCCTTGAGGGATCCTGTCTTGCATTGAGCCTTTGCAGGTGGGTGCTCGCTGAGAAAGGAAGAAAATCAGCTCTCTCTCAAAGGTAAGAGGCATTATGGAGCAGGCCACCAGCTTCCAACCTGACCTGTGAGCAGGGCTGTCCAACCACGTGTCCCCAAGCCCTAGTCCTTTGGGCCTTACCTCGCCCCCGGTCGATTGGAGGTCCCAATGTCCAGGGGGACTCCGACGAAGGCGGCGTCCAGCCCCTCGGGATTGGTCTGCACTGGCAGCCGCATCATAGAGCAGACGCCCACCGGTCGGGCTACGAACTCAGAGCTAGGTGGCTGATTTCGAGGGGCATCGCTGGCCTGGCGCTTTGGGCTGTGCCTGGAGTGGCAGAGCCCCAAGGCTGGCCATGCGCCCACGCCGGCCCCCCAGCCCCGAGCGCAGCCAGACGCCAGCAGCCTCAGCATGCCACCCACGGCCACCTGCCAAACCTGTTCCCTGAGTGGAGGCCCCAGGTCCCTGCTGGTCTCAGGAGCCTCCCAGGCAGTGTGCAGGCTCAAAGGGCAGGGGCACCCTGGGATCAAAGGCGGGGCTGGGGAGGAGCCCCGGGGATCAACTGCTCTCTACTCATGCTCCTCCGTGGACTTCAGCCTCAGCTCTTTTGGTAAACAAAGCTAGGCTGGTGACCAGCAGTTGGTATAATGGCTATGTTGCCGGACTCCCATGTAGTTGACCGCGGTTCGAGTCCTGGACCCAGTGGCTTAAACTCACGATGGGCGCATGTGCCTGTGTGCCCAAGATCCCAAGAGGAGAATGGAGGAGAAGGAATTGCTGCAGGGCTATACCTCCTGGGGGGTGATTTCTCACTTTCTGTCTCTCTGGCGCATGCGACTTATAGCAAAAACCTCTCAAAAAAAAAAAAAAATAGAGCTAGGCTGGGGGCTCTCCACTCTCACCCACCTGCACCACCCTAGGTGTGTTGGCATCCTGTGCCCCCCAGCATCAGGTCTCTGGCAGCCTCTTCTCCGATTCAGAGGAACAGTTTTTTGTTTTTAGGGTTTTTTTGGAGAGTTTTTTTGGTACAGGGTGTGTGAACTCTCCAGGAAGACAGAGACAGAGACAGAAAGCGAGAAATCATCCCCCGGGGGGGATGGCCACACGGCAATCCCTTCTCCTCCATTCTCCTCTCAGGATCCTGGGCACGCAGGCACATGCAGCCGTTGTGAGTTTAAGCCACCGGGTTCAGGACTCAAACCGTGGTCGACGACATGGGAGTCCAGCGACATAGCCATTACGCTAACTGCTGGTCCCAAGGAACAGTTTTCTGGAAAGACTTGAAGTGAAAGACTTCTCTAAAGTGGAGAAATGGAGCATACATTTAAAAAAATAATAATTAACAAATGCCTGGGCTGGGATTCCTTGGTTTTTTTTTTTTTTTTAGAGAGTGATTTTTGCTATAGGGCATGTGAACTCACCAGAGAGACAGAGAGAAAGAGGTGAGAAGTCACCTCCTATAGAGAGGTTGGCCTCAGCTGGAATCCCTTCTCCTCCCTTCTCCTCTCGGGAGCTTGGGCACACATGCACATGCACCTTGGCCTGGTCAGGACTCAGCGGTCAACTAGGTGGGAGTCCAATGATGTAACCATTTCTCCATCTGCTGGTCCCTGAGAGGGTTTCCTTTTTCCTTTTTCTTTTTTAGAGCAATTTTAGAACGATTTTTGCTATAAGGCATGTGCAAAAGAAAGACAGAGAGAGAGAGACAAAAAGTGAGAAATATTCTCCCTGAGGGGAGGGCCACACTGCAATCCCCTCTCCTCCACTTTTCCCCCGGGGGTTCCCGGCATGCACACACATGCAGCTGGCATGAGTTTCAAGCTGACGGGTCCAGGACTCAAACTGCAGTTGACTATGTGGGAGTCCAGTGACCTAACCATTGTGCCATCTGCTGATCCCTGGGTGAGTTTCTTAAAATACAGAAAAGAGGATTTAAAATCATCTTTTTAAAAAAAGAATTATTTGTTTAATTTCCCTTGTTACTATTATTATTATTATTTAATTTGACCAGACAGGAACAGAGACAGAGAGAAAGAAAAAGGGAGAAAGCAAGCCGCTAGGTCTGGGGTTCAAACAGAGATCGCCATGTGGAAGTCCAGCGCCTTAACCACCACGCCATCTGCTGGCCCCAACCTTTTTTTTTTTTTTCTTTTTGGAATTACTTATTTATTTTAATTTGACCACAGAGGGACAAAGTAAGAGAGAGAGGAAAAGTGAGACAGCAATCCACCAGGTCTGGGACTCGAACCACGGTCAGCCATAACCACCATGCGTTCTTAACCACCATGCCACCTGCTGGCTCCATAAAATAACCTTTTTAAAAAAATCACTTAAAGGCAAGCTGTAGGAAAGGCCACAGCACCAGCGAGCCTCCTAATCTGCAGTCCTCTACTTCTTTTTTTTGGAAAGAGACACACTTGGGAAAGGAAGGGAATCGGTGAGCTACTCAGCAGTATAATGTACTTACATTTCATCTCTAGCAGTCGGGATGGAACTGAGAGGCCCAAGTTTGCATTAGGTCATAACCTCTACACAAAGGTCACACATTAAACCCCACCCACCCCTGCCTCCACTCTGCAGGGCTGGAGCAAAGTCTCCCAGTGGTCAGTGGTGAGGTCAGTGTTGAAAGAGATCTCGAAGCAGGTCCTGGTCATTTTCCAGAACAAATACAACAACTCTCAGTTATTCTCTCTGTCTCTCTCTCTCTTTTAAGGTTTTTGCCATAGGGCATGTACACTTGCTGGAGAGAGACAAAAAGAGGCAAAGTGATAAATCACCCCCCAGGAGGGATGGCCACACCATGATCCCCCTCCTCCATTCTTCTGTGGGGACCTTGAGCACTCTCCCCTGCACTCCTGGCTCAATCCCCAAGCTGCCAGGTCTGGGACTAGGATCATGGTTGACCATGTGGGAATCCAGTGCCTTAACAACCACGCCACCTGCTGACCTCTCAGTTATTCTCTTAATATCCAGATTCGACCTGGATTTCTTCCATATTGCTTGTCCTGAATATATCATTTTCTTACTCCTCGCTTTTCTTCATTCATCTCACAAATACTCACTGCCTGCCATGTGCCCGGCACTCTAGGACCACCACTCCAACCACTTTCCATCATTCGTTGCTGCTGGACACTCCCTCTTTGAAACTTCCATCAGGTAATTTCTTTTTTTATTTTTTTCACTGTAGGTCGCGTGTGCTCGCCAAACAGAGAGAGACATAGAGACAGAAAGCGAGAAATCACCCCCCAGGGGGGATGGTCACACCGCAATACCTTCTCATACATTCTCCTCTCGGGATCTTGGGCACGCACACAAGCCTAGTGTGAATTTTAAGCCACTGGGTCCGGGACATGAACTGCAGTCCACTACGTGAGAGTCCAGCGACACAGCCATTACGCTAACTGCTGGTCATCAGGTAATTTCTTGACCATGTGTTCCCTTGGTCTTATTCCTCCTTTCTTTTTAAAGTTTGCTTGTTGGGGGACCAGCAGTTGGCATAATGGCTATGTCGCTGGACTCAGTCGACCATGGTTTGATTCCCAGACCCAGTGGCTTAAACTCACGCTGGGCGCGTGTGCGTGTGTGCCCAAGATCCCGAGGGCAGAATGGAGGAGAAGGAATTGCAGCGTGGCCATCTCCCCTGGGGGGTGATTTCCTGCCCTCTGTCTCTCTGTCTCTCTCTGTCTTTCTGGCAAGCACACATGCCCTATAGCATGCCCTATAGCAAAAACCTCTCCAAAAAATAAAAAAAAAAGTTTATTTGTCAGGCTACCTAGTGGTGTGGTGGTTAATGCAGCTGGATCCCGTACGGCTGATGGCAAGCTTTAATTCACAGACTTGACCGTTGAAATACACAGTGTGCGTACGCAAAAATCCCAAGAGGGAGAAATGGAGGAGAAGGAACCTTGGCCTGACCATCCCTCATGGTGATGTGGCAGGGGTGGGGGGATACTTTCTTTTTTTCCCAGTTTTTCTGGATTTTGTTTCTTGTTTTTTGTTTTGCTTTTGCCAGAGGGCACTTGTCCCTTGGAGAGAGAAAGCAAGAAATCCTCCCCATGAAGGATGGTTTGGGGTTTGAAGCACACACACACACACACACACACACACATATGCACATGCACACCCGGAAGATGTTTCAAGTCTCTGGGTCCAGGATGCAAACTGTGTAGTCTTATGGGATCCAGCCTCATTAACCACCGCACCAGCAGCTGGCCTAGGGAGCACTTTCTTTCCGTCTCTCTGTCTCTCTCTCTCTCTTTCTCTGGTGAGCACAGATGCCCCCTGGCAAATTAAAAGAAAAAAAAGCTGTGACCAGTAGATGGCGTTATGGCTTTGTTACTGGACTCTCATGTGGTTGACCATGGTTCGAGTCCCGGACCCAGTGGCTTAAACTCATGCCGGGCGCGTGTGCATGTGTGCCCAAGATCCTGAGAGGAGAATGGAGGAGAAGGGATTATGGCATGGCCATTCCCCTGGGGGGTGATTTCTCGCTTTCTGTCTCTCTGTCTCTCTCTGTCTTTCTGGTGAGCGCACCTGCCCTATAGCAAAAACCTCTCCACACAAAAAAAGAAGAAGAAGAAAATTTAAAAAAAAAAATGTTTACGTATTCCCTGTGTGAGACAGAGAGAAAAAGAGATACAAAACCTTGGAAAGGGTCCAGATGTTGCAATCGACCCCCAACCCCCGTCAGCCCACATGCATGCCAGCATACTCAGAGAAGTCTCCAAAGGTGAACCCAGAACCTCTCCGTGTGAGTCATCTTTGCAGAGTATGGTGTTCTACACCATCAGGCTCCACCTGTGTTTGTTTGTTTGTTTGTTTGTTTGTTTCTAAGAGATTTTTGCTGGAGGGTGTGCGCTCGCCAAAGAGACAGAAAGACAGAAAGCAAGGAATTCTACCTCCACCCCAAATGGATGGTCACACTTCAATCCCTTCTCCTCCATTCTCCTCTTGGGATTTTGGGTATGGATGCACATGTACCTGGAGTGAATATCAAGCCGCCAGATCCAGGACTCAAACTGTGGTCGACCACATGGGAATCCAGTGCCTTAACCACTACATCACCTGCTAGCCCCACCTGTGTGTTCTGATTACAGTTTTATTTACACTGAGTTGGCTTTCAGTTTGCTTATGGAGGAATACACAGTACTCAGGCTGTCTCGGCCTAATGGCTTCTCAATTGATTTATTTTCTTTCTTTTCTCTTTCTTCTTTCAAGACCCGGTCTCACTCTGTCACAATCTTCTTACCTCTGCCTCCACAGAGCTGAGACTACCGACATACACTGCCTTCAGGTTGGGTCAGAATCAAACCCGGGCTTCCCATGTGGACTCAGCCTATGAAGCATTAGCATCTGATCATACGCCACTGCTGCTGGGCCCCAATTTTTTTTCTTTTTCCAGTTTTTTCAGGAGGTAAGTACTCTCGTCAGAGAGACAGAGAGGGGAAAGTGAGAAAGCACCCCCCACCATGGGACATGGCCAAGCTGCAACCTCTTCTCCTCCATCTCTC